CAACGATATGTTCTCTTATTTTTGATTTATTTTAACAGGTATAATATATGGTATGTTACTTATAGTATAGATTTTTTTATTTTCTCGACCTAATTTATTTGTTACGTCTTCAGCAATTGTCGCTTTCAGTTGACATAAACGAAATTGATAAAAAGTGTTTTTCGCATTTTATTTTGACTGTTTCTCTTACTTTCGAATAGAAACTGAGCTTTGTAAACTTAAAATGACGGATATGTCAAACTAAAACTGACGGTAAAATGAAACATTGACTATCGTTAAATGCAACTTTTGAACTAGTTTCAAAAATAGCATTATATAGTCAAAATATTATCGATCGGAGCACCATCTTTATTACATTACATGAAGTAATTATTGATTTTTCGGGGTTCATTTAGAGTTAAATTAGACGCCATTTTTGGTCCAAATTCGTTTTGACATGTTTTTTCAAAGAAAGTGACTTATAAATTTCAAATCTACACGTTTTGAAAAATATACAATATTTAAATATTCTGAGTGTACCAAATTCCAAGTAAAGGTTGAACTTAGGTCGTATTACATTTTTTTTTATTATTTGTTTGACATCGAGGTTAAAATAATTCTACACGGCACCTTTGGGATGAAATAAAAGGGGGTTATTTTACATGATTGGTTTTTATTGAAAATAATAAATTTATTAATTTTCAATAGTAAGGTGACCTAAGTTAGACCTTTATTTTTAATTTGGCCAAAAATTAGATTTTTAAACACTACATATTCGGAAAACTGTCGATTTAACTTTTGGTCTACACATACACTTTTAATACACAGGGATACCCCGTCCTTAAGGATTCTGTCGACGTCCATATTTGTTGATTTGAAAATAAACAGAATCGGACTTGGTCATTGGTACATGTTATAAGTAGCAAATAAAGGTTATTATTATAAACTGTTTATTATTTCTTGTTTCATGGGGAATCTTTTTTTAGGAAGTGAAAAGAGAAACATACAATCAAATACAAAAATATCAATTTCATTGCCAATTTATTCGTTTCAAACTTGACAACTGGTTTCAATAGTTTTCTCAAAACTATTTATTTAGTAATTCTCTATAACAGTGTTACTCAAAGTGTGAGGACTTCGCGAAGAAAATAATCACAATAAAAAAAAAACAGTTCTATCGCCACACAATGGAGGGACCTCTTGAGGACTTTTTTTTGAGAAGTAATTTTTTTAAGTCACTTAGGACCGATTCCACCGTTGTGTTAAACGAAGTTTAAAATGACATTTTTACATTAACAATGTCATTTTAATCTCCGTTTAACACAACGGTGGAATCGGCTCTAAGAGGAAGGAGGATATGATTTTGCTTTGGGACTTTTTTATTTTTATTTTTCATGGGTGAAATGGATTTGGGATAATTCTTGCAAGGAATCTTTTGAATAAATCAAAAATAAATTAACAACAAATGATGATCTTGTGCATTTTCAGCCTGAGTTGCCGATTAAATTATTCGTAGATGCATCAAATGTGGGAATAAGGGCCATGATATGTCATGTTTTTGAAAAAAATATTGAGAAATCTATAGCTTCTGCTTCGCGTACCTTATCAAAGTCCGAACAAAATTATTCCCAAATTGAAAAAGAGGTCCTTGCAATAATTTTTGGCTTAAATAAATTTAATGAATATTTATATGGACATTTCTTTATCCTAGTTACAGATCACTTACCTCTGGTAACTATTTTTAACCCAGCTAAATGTATACCCCAATTTTCAGCCAACAGACTACGTAGATGGGCAGTAATATTGTCAAATTACAATTATGAAATTGAATATGTGAAATCGGAGCATAATAAAAAGCCGATTTTTTTATCATGTTTACCTATTGAAAGTCAAAATGAGAGTCAAAATAAAGAAACATTTGAAATAAATTTTTTAAATTATGTGTTTTATGTGTTTAGGGCTCCATTAAATATTTCGCTTTTCAAAAAGGTACCGTCGCCAAAAAAGTTTGAGAAACACTGCTCTATACAGGGTGTTAAAAAAAGTGTCACAAAATAAAACGGGGGGTAGTATGGGCCAAAATATGCAGAAAAGTCTTAATAAACATATGTCCGCAAATGAATGGTTTCAGAGATACGGAGTGTTTTGTGTTTTGTATCATTTTTTGATTATCTTTTTTCATTCTCAAAAACTTGCTTTTCTTATCGGAGTCTACCGGTGTTTTTTCATAGATACTATTTGCAGTTATTATTTTGTTGTGGGTGAATAATTTTATAAATTTTCGTTATGCCTGTTTACACTAATATTGAATTAGCTGACATGCATTTTATGTACGGTCGTACAAATGGCAATGCATTGAAATGGAGGAAGGGCACTTTGAACATCTCATTTAACTCTATGTTGTTATTGATTGTTTATATCATTGTTTTTTTATAATAATAAAAAATTGTTATAAACACAAAATGGTCCGTATCTCCGAAACCGTTAATTTGCGGTCATATATTTATTAAGACTTTTCTGCTTATTTTGGGTCATACTATTCACCATTTCATTTTGTGACACTTTTTTTTAACACCCTGTATAATAATATGGGATCTATCCATTTAATTTACATTCTGTAATTTTGACATATAAAGTAATATATTTTGTAATCGCAGCAAGTGTCAAAACGATCTACTTTATGCAACCAGTTGCATAAAGTAGAACATTATGCAACTGATTACGAAAAGTTGATTATGTCACCAGTTACGAAATGAAAATAAATAAAACTGCCTCTTTTTTGGTTTTTAAGTTGAAAAATCGAGAAATCGAGTAATCTAAAAATCGAAAAATAAAAAATCTAAAAATTCAAATATCCAAAAAACGAAAAAACCAAATATCGAAAAAAAGGCAATGAATAGTGACATTTCACATTTAAAAATATGACATTACATTTAACAACAAAAAGAAAACAAAAAAGAAAAGCTGTAAATTGCGTTTTATTTTTAAAATAACACCGTTATTGAAAACGGCCCAGAAATGTTGGGGGTAAAATTTTGACGTACTCCTAAGGATAAAGGGTAAAAATGTTTTTTTTTTCAAATTTCTCGCTGGTAATGTCAAAAATTAGATCGGCAACACTGAACATGTCCCTTATTTTTATTATTACTATTGAAAAAAAAAATCGTCGTAGGGCAATCAAATACAACAATTTTCTAAAATATTTGATTGGAAGTACCTACAGAAGAATTATGGTGAGTCATTTTTCAACACAATTTTATAAATAGTCAAGTCAAAATTAGAAAAAATCTTGTATGTAAATACGTTACGAAATGCCATTTTGTGTAACTCGTTCATTTTTCGGGACCTCGCTCCGCTCGTTCCGCAAATATTTACTCGTTACACAAAATAAGGCATTTCGTAACTGGTTACATAAATAACTATTAATTGACTTAATATTTTAATTCATTGAACGATATTTTCGGTAAATAATTAAATCATAAATAATTACCGGCATATAAGTACCAAAACATTTTTTTCTCTTCGAAGAGTAGGCCTGTCAAATAAACTTAAAATATTATTATTTCACCCCACATTTGATGAAACTTGTTTTGTAGTATTCCCTAGTGGATGGAGAGTATGGCGAGCCTGAAGATGAAGTGATGACACTTCGAAACCGGTCTGCACTCAATGTTTTGTTAAATAATTAATCATTGACTTTCCTTGTGAGATATAAAGGACTTTTTCTCCCCCTTCACCTTAAAATTACCTCAACTCACACATGGCTACCCCCCTTGTCAACTTAAAATATTATAGCGAACGAAAAGGTAACCCATTTCTAATAAAATTTAATTATTTATTTTATTTTGGTGTGATCGTACAAAAAATCTTGTGTGTAATTCGAGCAAAAAGTACTTTGTCTGTTTCGATAACTTTTTGTCTCAACAGCTATTTTGTTGCAATTATAAACTTTTATTTAGGGTCGATTTCACCGTTTTGGTAAGCGAAGTTTAAAATACTAAATGGAGTTTAAAATGACATTTTTACATTAACAATGTCATTTTAATCTTCGTTTAATAATTTAAACTTCGTTTGAAACAACAGTGGAATCGGCCCTTAGCTAGTTATATATTGATAAAGTGTTAGTGCCCTCATCATACATGAATCGTGCTAACAAATAAAGTCAAAAAAAACGTCTTATAATTTTTCATCTTTTAGTTACCCACCAAAATTAGGTACTATAATACAAATATTTAAGTCCGGCCCAGAACGTCTCCCTACTCCTTCCACCCAGTTTTTCGGTTTTGGCAAAATTTGCGCAGCGACAAATGCTTCCTATGTTACCTCTACCCTTTCTAACCTCTTTGATTTAGAGTTAAATTAGACGCCATTTTTGGTCCTTTTGACATGTTTTTTCAAAGAAAGTGACTTATAAATTTCAAATCTACACGTTTTGAAAAATGTACAATATTTAAATATTCTGAGTGTACCAAATTCCAAGTAAAGGTTGAACTTAGGTCGTATTACATTTTTTTTTATTATTTGTTTGACATCGAGGTTAAAATAATTCTACACGGCACCTTTGAGATGAAATAAAAGGGGGTTATTTTACATGATTGGTTTTTATTGAAAATAATAAATTTATTAATTTTCAATAGTAAGGTGACCTAAGTTAGACCTTTATTTTTAATTTGGCCAAAAATTAGATTTTTAAACACTACATATTCGGAAAACTGTCGATTTAACTTTTGGTCTACACATACACTTTTAATACACAGGGATACCTCGTCCTTAAGTGCTTATCTTGTTATCTGATGATTGAGTTTTTAATAAAACGTTTTTTTAATTTTTTTTTTTTAATGTTTTCTTGACTTCCTGATATGGTCGCATGAGATTTACTTAAAAAAAAAAACGGGGGGGGGGGCAAACTTAAGGTTTTGCCCAGAGCGCCAAAATGTCTAGGGCCGGCCCTGCAGCTACATCTCAGTATCCTGAATTGTTCTCATTCAATAAAACAACAATTAAGATTCATTAAAAACCAATTTGGTTTTTTAAAATCTTTATTCAAATTTAAAACGTTTACAAAAATAATACACAATCATTTTTTTGTCAAAAAAAAAAAACATTTAAACAATTACAATTATTATTAGAGATGCTGAAAAATCAAATAAATATTTAGATGATATGTGATGATAACGCAAAATCTCAAAAGTTTAATCACTTTCTATCAAAAGTTCCTCGAAAATACGTACTAAATTTTCGATCCCATCCAAATAATTTCTATCTATATCACAATTTTCTGCTGGAAACACATGAGCGAAGTCTATCATTTTCGCGAATGCCCAGCATTCTGTTTTTTGTTCCGTGTTCAATTCGTCTAAGAGATACGTGTAGTCTTGCTTTCTGCACTGAACGTCCTTATCGTAATTGTTCTGAAAAGAATGCGTTCTTTTTAAAGACGAAATAGATTTGGACCAAGTGTTGTTACTGGCAATGGTAGGCATCTCTAAGTTAACAGATTTACTGGGAGACCTCGGGGACTTTAAAATAGGACCCTCCTTCGTTAGTTGTCCACTGAAACCTGTAGGAATTCTATCACATTCGTTGTTCTTATTTAATACTGCTAGACTCATTGGTCGATATAGACTGCCTTTTCTTGTGAGCTTGAAACAGGACGTCAACTTCCCGAATTTCATTTTTTCCCGAAGTCTTCTGGCATCGTAGACAAGTAGTATCGATGACGAGTAAAGACGCAATTGTCGTTGATTTCTGGCCCAGTACTGGATCTGCCAAAGCGCTGCTAGGAATTGGACTATTAGACTTCGACACATTCTGGTGCCTTCGGCGTTCAAGAATGTTTTTATGGCTGAAAAAAAAAAAACTGCAATTACAACGTGTATCATGTATATCAGAGTGTACAATCCATCTTTTATAAATGACAGTTTGGATATAATCACAATATATCCCCAATCCCCTATAGTAATGTAACTGGGATTCAAGAAATGGCTTTGAGTTACGCTGCGGCCAGACACAGGCCTCATGGCGCTAGTATCGTTTTGAATTTTGACACGTCCAACACCGGCACGTTCATTGGTTGAAGAGGAAGTTTTTGACAAGTGAAGCATGAAGTGTCAGTATTGATAATTTTTTGATTTTTTCTTCTACGAAATTTATACCGTTTATTAATATTAATTTTGTTTAAGCGATATTTATTGTGATTTGTGTTGTTGTATTAAGTGCTTTCTTATTTAATATGGGAAACAAAACGTACAACAAACTCAGAAAAAGAGGAATCAAGGAGGGATTGCTATGGCTGTCATCCAAGGGTCTCCGCCCTAGATAATACTTTTCTAGTGGGAAAAGCCTTTAAAATTCAAGTATAACAATTTTATGTTTCCGGTTTCCCTTCTTTTAATGTAGGTGCCAATTTTGAGGTAAGTTTGTAATAATTTTTCATATTTCTTCAGTTAATACGAGGGTATAATTTAACTAAGATCTTATGATTTCCTATGGACACGATTCAAGGAGGGAGTCCTATGGCTGTCATCCAAGCCCTAGATAATAGTTTTCTAATGACAACAGCCTTCAAAATTCAAGTATAATAATTTACTGTTTCAGTTTTTCTCCTTTTTCGAAGTACGTGTCCATTTAAACTAAAAAATTTTATTTCACTAATTGATTTTAGCATTTATATACAGTATCGGCTAATGAACACTTTCCAATACGCTTGGCTAGCATCTAAGAGAAAACTAAAGAGTTAGCATTAGTTCGATCAGGAAACAAATAATATGAATGTTGCCTTGTGTGCTGTGTAATATGAACAGGCACACGATGCGATGCATTCCCACGTAGCCGGCTGGCTACGTTCATAGTATTCTATTCCTTTTCCCACTAATGCTAACTCTTTGTAGTTTTTATTTGGACATTAGCAAAACGTATTGTACAACATTCGATAGCTGTCACTGTATTATCACAAACATCTCTTGATAACTAAATGATTTCATTTAATAGTTTCTTTTTTTTCTTCAGTAAAATGGATATGGCTAGAGTTATTATCGACTTTAAAATAAATTAAATAAGTTTTATAATTTTTCAAATAAAATACTTTATACAATTTTTTGTTTTTTTACCAGAGCCAATTTTTTTTCAGATCTAAGCTTTATAGGTAAAAAATAAGTGATTCAGGTAAAATTGAAAAGTATATTACATGTTCTTTTAAATGTGTTGTTAATCCAAATACTGCTCTTATTGTGATGCCTAATAATAAAAGAATTAGTATTATTTTTAGCTATCAAAATAAAAATAGCGCCTGGATTTACAGCTCGTTTAATGGAACTTTCAATATACTTCTCAATTATTTCCGAATGAATATATTTAAAAATTCCCGCCATTCCGCTGCTGGAAATTTACGATTTTGCCGGGAAATTTAAATTTCGCCTTTAAATTATATCTGAATTTACCGCCATATCGAGTTAGTTGAGCGGCCAGACACATACGCATTTTAGCGCTGCAAACTTAGTGCCAACTCTTTAACAAGTGAGATGCACTACTACAGGGGATATATTGTGGATATAATACAACAGAAGCGTTCATAGTTATGGAGGTCACTCACATCTCTTTCCGTTATGGCCCTTTAGAAACATTTTTTGTGGATCACTCATTATAATTATTGAATTTTTCATGATACATGAAATAAGGGAATCACATAGAGTACTTTGAGTTGACATAATGTGGTTAATAATGTCACTTATACTATTCAGAAAATAACTATTTATGAAATACCGAATGCTTAAGTTATTTTGTGAATGGTACAAGTGAAATTATTAACGACATTATGTCAACTCAAACTCTATGTGATTCCCTTATTTCTTTAAGAAAGCTTCTGATCTAAGACCAGTACCCATAAATTAAAAAAACATTTACCTAGAAAAACCGTAAACAAAAAGTGAAAATAAATATGACTTCAAATGAAAAATTAAAATTGTTTTGGTGTACATTAGAGAAGCGTGTTAGACCCTTTACTCTTTTTACTTTATATTGATTATAGAATATACAATCAATGATTGTTGAGTCCACTTATTTGCAGATGATGCACTGGTTTATTTTTCTTCCAATGACCTTAAACACGAGGATGTTATAAATGGTGGTTAAATCGTGTAAATGAGTGGTGTTGTGCCAATTATCTTAAAATTAATTAGTCAAAAACTAAGTTTATGTTAATGATGATTTTAAGAGTAAACATTTTAAAAATATGTTTAGGCATCTAAGAAGTTGAATTAGTAAAGAAAATAAAATATTTGTGGACCTTAGAGCCAAAGAGTACTAAGTTCATTTTACAAAATTTTACAGGAGAGCTTGTTATTGAAACTTTTGACTGCCTGCATTTTTAATTGGACTTAATATTGGTTTTAAAAATATATCTGGAAAATAATAAATAATAGGACTTAATATTTAGCACCAGTGGAAAGAGCAGGAAAAATTATGTAGGAGTAAGCAAAAACTTGAAAATGAAAAAAGGCGACTGTTTGGCTCTGAGGTCCAGATTTGGGTGTCATTGTTTACCACACATTAAATTTTAAAAATCATGCCAACTATACATGGTGTCCAGGAAAATGTGGGGGGTCTCTCGGATTCAGATAGAACAATAAAAATAGACAAGTTCCCATAAATTTTTTCCTAGCGGCCCTCCCTACGGAGATACGACCTCCAAAAGGTCGCCACTGGAAATCAATTTTTCTTGAATAACTACGTAATATAATTTAATGAAAATTTAATATGATAAACAGTGGTAAGAATTTCTTAAAATACTGCCCTTAAAATATAATTAGCTTGTTTGGTTTACCAGGGGCGGACTAGGTTGTACATTTTAATGCCCCTGTATGATAAGGAGTTAAAAAAAATAAATTTCGATACCTTGAACATTAATCTAAAGAAAAGGTACTTTTCTTTATTGTCGATAAAATGAACAGTTTCGAGAAAAAAAAAATAAAAGAATTAATGTTTTATTTTTATTAAAAAATTAAACTCCCAGAATTAGCTAATTTCAAATTGGTAAATTCTAAAATACAACTTGGAGTATTATGTTTTCATCCTGAACTCACTAAAGCTTGTAACGATTGAACCAAAATACGCTAATTAGAAATAATCAATTAAAAACGTTGATAATGATGAACAACAGTGGCATGAGGGTTTTCATCAGCCCATACATGCGAGTTATGTAAATTTACAATACTATTTTTGGTAAACCCTGCTTCATCGGTATAAAGAATAGTGCTAATGAAGTTTTCGTTTGTTCGTTGCTGATCTAACAGCCAGTTTGCGAACTGGATTCTTCGAGGAAAATCTTCAGGCCGTAATTGATTCACTTTTTGCAAATGATAAGGGTATAACAACTGTTCTTTAAGTACTTCGGGAATTGTCGTTTTTGACACATGAAGCTGCGTGGCTAATCTTCGAGTGCTTATTGAAGGAGTTTCAGCTACAGTATCCAAAATATTTTGCTCCAATTGCACCGTACGTACTGTTCTTGTTACACCAGCATCAGTACTTGTTTTCCCAAAACTTCCTAAAAATTATTAAAGAAAGTCTCTCTTTTGGAATATTGCGATTAGGATATCTTTCTTCATACAACCTTCTTGCTTCATAAGCATTGCAAGATGCAAGACCGTACATAAGATGCATATCTGCATACTCACTAAATGTGTATCCCATTATCGAATTAACTTTACCAATATATTCAAAATTCAATAAATTAATATCGGAGTACTAAAAGATCAATGTGTCAACAAGATTTAAAATGCACACGTCAATGCAATTATTCATTTATTTCGTAGGTACCATAGTAACGTTTGTAAAAACAGTGCATTTTTTAATACTGATATCAGTTCTATTTTAATGACACTTTGCTGCAGACAAAAAAAATTGGAAATCATGGTTTCTTTTTAATAAAAATAAAGCATTAATTCTTTTATTTTTTTTCTCTCGAAAACGGTTCATTTTATCGACAATGACACCTTTTCTTTAGCTTAATGTTCAAGGTATCGAAATTTATTTTTTTTAACTCCTTATCATACAGGGTATTAAAAATGTAAGCATTAAAATGTACAACCTAGTCCGCCCCTGGTAAACTAAACAAGCTAATTCTGTTTTAAGAGGTTCTTACTACTGTTTATCATATTAAATTTTCATTAAATTATATTACGTAGTTTGAAAGTTATTCAAGAAAAATTGATTTCCAGTGGCGTCCTTTTGGAGGCCGTATCTCCGTAGGGAGGGCCGCTAGGAAAAAAAATTATGGGAACTTGTCATCTTATTTTTTAATGTTCTATCTAAATCCGAGAGACCTTCCACATTTTCCCAGACACCCTGTGTAATTAAAATATAATGAAAGAAAAGTGAAATGAGAAAAATAGGTTGAGATACGAAAAACTGAAATGCAAAAGTGAAAATAAACCAAAGAAAAAATAAAAAAGCTGATGAGTCGAGCCTGGATTGATTATAAATTAATAAAAAACCGATTATTCGATTATCGACTTTTCAATGCCCACCCCTAGTTCTGAATCAATTCAGGATTGCTATCGCGAACGAAGCTATTCACTATACACAAACGCAAATTAAAAAAAAATGTTATTAAAATATATTTTAACATTTTACATTATAATTATTTTATTTTAGATATGGGGGTGTAATTTTCATAATTTCGTTCAGGTAATTGGAGATTTTTCATTTTCATATTTCGAAAATTATATAATTTATACAGGGTGTCCCGAAATTAGACGGTCATATTTTAACAGCTTAATCTACATCCTAAAATAGGAATAAAAGTTCATATAAACATAGGTCCGAAAACGTTTCGTTTTCGAGATACAGGGTGTTACAAGTGAAGTTATGATGGCACATTTTTGTAAATATTTTCTAAAATTTCTTTAGTCACCGGTTTTCCAAAGTAAAAACAAAAATAAAATTTCTGATATCAGAGGCTTACTAACTATTATTGTTTACACTTTCGAATAACTTATCATAAAATTTTCAAATGCTTTTTTCTTGAAAATGGTGCGTCCTAGCGAGATGCAACAAAAGTAGCTTTATAATAAAGAGAACATTGGTTTTCCAAATTTTATAGTCAAAAATGTTAAAAACTGTCAACAAAATAAAATTTTACCCTAAGCCCCCCCTAATTTACCCACCTATGAAGATGATCAAAAACTGGGGTTTAGTCCATTAAATAGAGCGTAAAAACGTAAGCATTTGTACCAAATTTCATTCAGTTATCTTTAAACGTTTAGAAAATATTTACAAAAGAGTGTCATCAGGACTTCACTTTTAACACCCTGTATCTCGGAAAAGAAACGTTTTCGGACCTATGTTTACATAAACTTTTACTACTATTTTAGGATGAAGATTATGCTGTTAAAATATGACCGTCTAATTTCGGGACACCCTGTATATTAAAAACTTTATTAATTAAAATTAGTTATTTATATAAAACCTCAAGCCTCAATGAATGGACCAGTACGATTTTGTACTACACATTGATACTTCCACAATTTACTTATTGCTTATCAATACATGTTAAATAGTTAAATAACGCTAAACGAAAAATATTTTTTTTAATTGCTTAAAAAGTTAACTGCAGAAAAAGTATAGTGTGTAACACGTGCGAACAATTTATCGTAAACATCTGCGCCAGCGGGAAAACTGCCTGTTTTATAAACTACTATTTCTGAATTGAACTTACCATCTTCTGCTCTCTCCTTATTAAGGCTTTTTCCAAATTCCTTATCATACTTGACTAACTGATTATTTGATAATTTGTATACTTGAAAACCAGGGATGCAAAATCCCAGATCTCTTTTGCAGTCTTGATATTTTCTCTGAAATCAAAATAGTTCAAGATCAAAGGTCGAAAAGTTGGGTTTTTCGAATGGCTACGAGAAAGTTGACAGTCGAATTTAATAAATAAATAAGAATGTAACATGTTATTGGAAATGGGTTTCCAACGACCTGTCAAACAATCGCTGCCAGTGGGAAGTGCTCGTATATCTAAGGGGGTTGCGACATAGCTTTCCATCTTTGATGCTATTACTTTTTACATTTAGTAAATGATGGTGCCGAGTTAAAAACCGTAAAAACAATTTGTAATTGAACATTTATGAAATGCAGGACATTAAGCGTCCAGCCAGGGGACTTCGTAGGACGCTTAAATTGGAGCCTAAAATCCAGGACATTTTGTGAAATCCAGGACACCTGACAACCCTAACTCAGGGTCAAATTTAGGTTGGTACACATACTTTGATTTTCTCTTACTATACGGAGAATGGTCGCACTGCGCAGCTTTCTGAGTGCCTTTTAAAAGGTTTTAATCTGACAGGTTAAAACGACTAAACCGACAATTCCGGAAGCAGAAGCGGATGATTAAAACGCACCCGATATTTTGCTTGCTGCTGTCAGTGTCAGTGAATATTATTTTTGGAGTCACAGTTTATTGCTAAAGAATCAGTTAGCTCACTCGGACCAGCTGAAAGTTCCAAAATAACATCCACTCCAGGGATACAAATTCAGGATGCGCAGAACTGTTATTTTATTATAGGTGGTTGTCATATATTGTATTATCCGAGTTGCGCGGTGTATAAACTGGAACACTCAGATCAAAAGTGCCGACGCAGAGTGAGCGAATTGATTCTTTACCTATAAACTGTGGTAAAGGCATCAAAATGGCCGCGCCCTATGTTGGGCGTGTCAGACCTCTCTCTTGCACCGTATATATCAAAGTATGTGGGTTGGGATGATTATAACAGTCTGGGCAATAGTCAAAGTTGACAATAATGATAAATGGTAACAAATCCAATGAATTTGTAAAGTACAATAGACCTATCCCGTTATTGATGATCTCTATTACTGATGCGCAAATCCTATTTCCTCCTAAAAATAATCAAAATTTATTGTTGTTGTTTTCTACCCTGAATCCTAAGTTCCAATAAAACAACCGTAGATATTTTTGGGTTTGATAGTATTTGTATTTAACTTTTATTATTGGTAGAGAAACCAGTGACTCTTTTAGGTGTGTTATTTGCGAAATGCATAATTACAAAATATTTCATCCATTCTTACCTTGTAGAACATGGAAATACTCCCTGCACCGATGGAGCCCTCAACGAGGCCGTCTTAAAATAGCTTGTGTAGAAAATGCTCTCATAAAAACGCAAGCAACTTTCAGATATTATTTACATCCAAAGTTAATGGAAAACAGTTTGCTGCCACCTTCTTAAAATTGGGCTTACATTGTAGCAAAGTATTTCCATCTTCTAGAGGGTAAGAATTAACGATATATTTATCATTTATTGTGCAAATGTGTACCAAAAAAGTGTCACCTAGTTCCCAACTATATGGAGATGTGGCCAAAAATACTGCCAACGAAGTTAGGTCGAGGATACGAGAAAGATAGAAAATAAGTTGTTTGGAAAATTACTAGATTCAAAAGTCTCGCAGCTTTTTTTGCGCTTGAGTCGAATAACGGGAAAAGTGGATTACAGAATACAGTTCAATTTTACTTTTATAAAATTTTCAACAATAATAGTAATTTATTGAGTTTATTACTAAAAAACGAAACATGGTGATACGTTGAGTTGATTCGAATCGTGATTCAATGTCAAGTATTCAAGAAGAGAAAATATTGCTGGGATTGGAGTACAAATTATGGCCATCACTAATATAGTGTATTCATTTGAATAAAAATTGGCAAAATTTTTTTTTGGGTATTTACAGCAAAGTCAATAGTTTATCAATATATTTTGTATTTACTAATTAAAGAAATATACTCATTAAATCCGTAATATAATACAATATTATTTATTCGGAATTAATGACGGAATTAGAAAAAATAAAAGAAACAACTTTGTTGAAAAATAATTAAACAATAATCAATACCTAGATAACAAACAAGCACGTGATTATTTAACTATTGGTAATTAATATTAATTTTTATTTGCTTTGGTATAAATATTAAATAAAACAGTGATGTGAAAAATAAATTTAAGATTTTTGAAAAACTAAAATAGGAATATCTACGATTCAATTAACAATTTATTAACTCCCCAAACTAAGAAACATTTCCTACCTAATTAAATTCAGGCAGTTGATGCGCAGGATATTCCTAAAAATTGCCGGAGAAATGTTCACATTGTGAAATAACAGAATGAACGTAGTCAGCTTTTATACAGATACGGAATGTTTAACACGGAACATATACCTTACAATAAATTGATCAGGGTATAAATAGGAACATCCACATATCAGGTACATACTGCTAAAGCTGGGTGGTAGCACATCGAGCATAAATCTGTATCTAATGTATGTTATATGCATGTTCCTATTAAACCTTGTTTAACTGTAAGGTGTTGAAATTTTAGAATAAAATTTACTTTATCTTACCTCTTCAGAACGAATTTTTTCTAAAGTGGCGTTGGGGTCCCATGTCCTCTTGCCGATTTTAATGTCCATAATGCATGGCTCCTTAAAATCTTTGATCAGATCTTCAAGTACGATAAATTCGCGAGTTTTACCGTCCACAGTCAGTTGTTTAGTTCCAAAATATTTGGGTACGAAATTTTTTAATTCTGAAATTGTTTTATCCAAAGTGAAGCTGAGGTTTTTGTAAAAACCGGTTTCTCTCTCGCCGCATTCGCGTTTTAAAATTGGTTTTAGAACCATACCCTCTTGTTTTAACATCCCTAAAAACAAAAGAAACAACATTAAGTAAAGTAATTTTCAAATTGTCTCATATGTGAAAAGAAATAGTTTTTAATCCAAAATTGAGTGTTTTAATGAAACAGTGAAGTGAAAAAAATGGAATGTCAAGAAAATAAGACTTGGAACAGGTAAAAAGATTCAATAAAGGTGGGTTATTAATATCTAATTGATAATTTAAGAGGTTAAATCTATTTAAATAAATCTCTGACACCTGAATTTTTAAATCTATTAGAATAGATTTAAAAATTCAGATAACCTCTTATGATCAATTAGATATTAATAATTTACCTTTGTTAAATCTCTACCTGTTTTTAGTTTTCTGTGAGATAATTCCGTTAATGATAATACCTTATTGGAATTTTATTAATATATTAATTATTAAGTACTTTAATTAGTTTATTTTGTCCCAAAATTCCGTGTAGGTAGCCAAAATCACCTATATCACAAAGTGCTTCGTTTGCCTGTGAAGAAGCTTCAAAGTTGAAAGAAAATTTTAATTAAAAAAAACGCATTGTTCAATTTTTATACAATTTGGTATGTAGCTATTTTAATTCAAAGCAAAAATTACACCAACTGAAATCATGGATGGGTAAAAACCACCCTAATCCTACCATAAATGACAACGTATTTTTTTTGAAGGCCGCCCCTGTTCCCTCAATTTTTTTATGGAGAGCTGTATTCATTTGTAGCATTTTTTCTCTTGCAAAACATATATATCTCTCATGGTATTTGAGTAAAAAAAACGCAACGCTATCGACTTTAACGTTATTACAATAAAAAAATCATCAATAGACATAGGTATCTACTAAAAAATAACAATTCAAAGAGAAGGATACATTTTTTTACAATAAATGTTCAATATGGCCACTACCTTCGTTCATGCAGATTTCAATTTGCCGCAAGAAATTGAAGTGTACCTACCCTTCTTAAAATGCCTAGATCATTTCTCATAGAGTTCACATTTTGAATCCTACCCCATAATTGTTCAATGTTGTCGACAGGAACTTCATAAACTTTGGTTTTCAAGTGACCCCAGATAAAATAGAATAAATAAATAGAGAATGGAGTCCTCGAGCTAAAGCTCTAGGACTATATTCTGATTATTAATGACAAAATTATGTCTCGACAAATTGACAAAAACACACTCAAAATTTAGATACAATAAAAATAGTCGACTATTTAACAAGGTATTGTTATATTACCGTTGAATACTGTACTAAATCTACTGCAATATAAAACGAGAACAAGTTAAAATTTTGATTTTATTTATCCGGGGTATCAAAATAAGCAGATTTTATAAAATACAGTTTGAAAAAGTAACGTTTAAACTGTCATTTTTGTCTATTGGAAAATAGGTTTATCTAAAAATTGGCTTGTTGGCATTTTTTTCTACATAACTCGTTTTCTACCTATAAGGACGAAACCGGTACAAGCATGACGTTCTCATTAATAAGCAAAATCAAACAGTGTTGAAAATAATTTTTTCTACACCCACATGGATATTAGCTTATCTACGCACAGATTACAAAGCGAAAAAGAATGCTATTGCCTTCAACTGAGCGAATATATTTCATATTCATTCTAGGTAGTGAGAACACTGCAAAAAAATTAAATATATCAATCACAGTTCATATTTTGATCAACCGATTGCTATTATTTTTAAAATTTTAAATAAGGGACAATTCTGTCAAACTAATTGTCAGTATAATTTTTAGTTATTGAGATTAAACATTCATTAAAATGAGTTATTCTTGTGTAGAATCGATAAATAATAGAATTTATATTTTTATTTCGTCTATTTATAAATAATTTGTTAATTTAAATAAAACTACATGAAGTTAATTTAATTATGAGTATTAAACCATAAAAATAAACGCGTGGATGGTCCTGTGGTCAGGGTTCTTGCCTTCTATACGGAAGACTGGAGTTCAAAAAGGAAATTAATTTTTTTTCTTATTTATTTTATTTTATAAATTAGTAGAAGTCATAAATTATTCTTAAATTAATTATTTTATCTTAAGGACCTAAAATAATTTATAATATTTGTAGATTTTCGTTAGTGGGTCGTAGAAAAAATATACTGTACAACTCGAAAAGATTGTCCATATCGCAATTAGACGATTGAGCACTCCGCCTAAGGCGTCGTGCTCAAATTTCGTCTTCGTGCGCTATGGCCATCATATCCACTTTTTTTTTTAATTGGGTGTCATCGGCATCGACTGCTAAGGTCATTAGCCTCATGTTTTGTGTAGGCTTTGTTAGTGTTTCCCAGCGCCACTTTAGGAATATCACTGTTAATTAGAACCCAACAGTGAATGGTCGAGTGGGGAATCCTACCAAGGCATCAGAATTAATTTTAAATAATTAAATTAAATAAAAAAATCCCGGCAAACGGTGGGATTCGAACCTGAGACCCTTGGATCCACAGGCAGAGACTCTACCACTGAGCCACCCACCCCTTTATATCCACTCTTGTTGCACAAACTACTAATTCTAGCTCTGCTGGCGTTCTTTGGATATAATTCAATAACTGTTGTGGTATTAGCCAAATCAGTAGTTGTTTTTTGGAGGGAAACTGTTTCTGTGGCACGTTCTTTGAGTTTTTCTTCTTTATTTTTCTTTTTAAATTGTTCACATATGGGTATTGGTATTTATAATGTAAAATTTTAATTTATTCATTATTATAACTCAATAATAACGTCAACAATATTCTAGAATATTCAATAGAATTTATAACCAATTTATCATTCACTATAAGATTTACCAAAATAGCGAATCTAATATCTATTTTTGATACATATTTAATAATGAAAAGAACCTTTTACATTACTGATAATCATTAAGTTAAAATCATGATATACGACCGACTAATTTCGATGTTTCTGGAAAAGAATAAGCAGAACTGTTTAATAAATAAAACGAGAACGAGTTACAATTTATCCAGTTGTTACCCGATATAAATATCACAAGCTGTCTTTGTTTTGATTTATTTAAAGTGTGCATTTAAAAATGATAAATTATTAATTCCTTCATTAACTATTGGCAACCAAAATGAATTAACATGTGCCACTAACAGGGTATACAGATTCGTAATAGTATTTTCCTCACGGCCACTACTGAATGTAGTTCTTCTTATATGAAAACATTCTCGCTCTTGAGATTGAAAGAAAATTCTTATGTATTTTACATGTATTTGATTCTAACTCTAGAGACAGAATGTTCATTATAATAGCTTACTGTCCAATGGGTGTGAATACCACGCTCGCATCATAGATAGTCATGAATTTTATAACTGACAGTTCTACGCGATGGATTAGTATTTAGTTTGAATTTCTGAATAAAGATAAGCTGCGTTTGTTAAGTCGAACTTAAATTCAAAAATTGGTGAATATAATGATTCTTGGAAGGAATTTGATAATATTCCTCCTTAACTGACAAATTATGCAAATAATAATTAATTTCCGTGAAGCTACGCTTTAAAAATCCCCTGTATATTGAATTCCCTAGTCATCGCAGATCCTGAACGGCTGAGCGAGCCACCCGTAGTTTAAAATATTCTCGTTTGTACTGTAAAATCATGTTCGTATTAAAACACCGAATTTTATACAAATTATCAAAAATTGTTTGCGAAGGTGTGCGAGGGTCATTTTTTGTACCAATTAGTAGTAAATAGTCCGAAGACCGGTGGTGGTTGCTCCCACTCCGAACTGGTCGACGTGCAGCGTCATAGCTGAAAAGGCATAAGTACGAGGGCGGCGAAAATTACAAGAGCTTGCTTCTTGACCACCGTAGTGACCAGCAGTTTTCTGTCACCGAAGCTTTTTTCCGTGATAGTGATACCGAGTTAGTGAACCGTTTAGCACTCCGATTATTAACCAAGGTAGGCCTTTCAACATAATTTGTTCTTTTCTCCTATGCGAAATTGCCGTTTTTGTCTCGCCCTCTATGTTATGTTGTTATGTTGGGAATGGGGTGTTAATACACTGCGACCTAAAAGATGTAGTTGAGCATTTAATTTTTTTTTATTATTAATAGTCAAATTATCGCGTTTTGGCGTTGTCAAAATTCTCTTGGTTGAGCCATCCGCGGATCTCCTGGATAGGTTCTGACCCGGAAAGCTTTGCAACCCCGCCCAGTAAAACATTCAGTTTTTTTATATTAAATTGACGCGATCATTTTCTTTCTTTTTAGTTGTTGTTAATTTAATTATCGCGATCTAGTGTTGTAAAACCTCTTGGTTGAGCCATTTGTGGATCTCCTGAGCGTCCTCTGTTCCTGGAAATTTTACAACCGTCAGTATATTAATAATATTTTTGCAAAAGCCGGACAAAAACCTCGAAACTCGCTATCATCATGTAAACTAGATTTCGTGTTAACTTCGATCGAATGCCCAGCGTAGTGCATTAATTCTGTTTGTTGTAAAATTTTATTTCTCATATGCCTGAGTGTCGTAAATTTCGATACAGTTTAATTTCACTTGTTAGTTTCCTTTTTTTTTTTAAGAAAATCGCCTGCTTTAGTTCAACTAATTTGTTTTGAAAATTAGTTTTCCGTGAAGTGAATTTATTTTCCGTATACAGGTTTGGAGCATAATTGCCTCCGGGATTTCAAACCGATTATTTATTTCGATTAATTTTTTTTTGTAAATTAATTGTTATTTTGGTAAATTTATTTTCCGTATATAGGGTGGAGCATAATTGCTTCCTGAATTTTGATCCGTTTAGTTAATTCAATTTATTTGAGGTTTGCGACGAACCCTAAACTTTTTTAACGGAGGACATTTTGAACACTTACTCTAACCGGTTGAATATTTATTTTAATTTTCTTCTTTTGATTCTTTGTTTAATTTATAACATTAGCATAAGAATAATGTTTTTGGTTTTTAATAAATAGGTACCTAATTTTTTTTTAAAAATACTTATTTTATCACTTTATTTTCAAATCACAATATTCCGAAAACAGTACACAGTACTCGAGTTTT